GTCAGAACCTGGCAAAAGCTGGATTAGTGCCAGCATGATGATACATCAGCAGTGACTCTGTGACCTTCCCCCAAATGCAGCAGGATACCTCATAGAAGACAATGGGAATAGAAGTCTTGGAATTACAGCACTTGGGAATAACATAAATTTCACATGATACCTTGAATCACTATGCCAAATATTTCTTTCATGGCAAGCCAGAGGAAGAACTGATATTTAAAGCACCAAAATACAGAAACGGACTGAAAAATATTTGGCAACTTGCTTGATGGACTCTTTTCTGCTAATAGCTCCACTTGATGCACCATTAGTTTGGAGTATAAGAAAAATATTGTCATTCTATAATGACCTGAGGATAGTAAAGTTCAAAACATTAATACGTGGGCAGAGCATCACACATCAAAATCATGCCTTGTGTTCTTGCTCAGTTGAAAGGACAGAAAGGAAACGTTTGTTCACAAGATAACAAAGAAGACTTCAAAATCTCTCCAGAAATGTAATCCTTGCCAGATTCACCCATTCTTGTACTGTATAACCACCAAAAATAGTAGGCCCACCTGCCCACCAAGCAGTCTTTTTCACTGATGTATATTATACTGCAAGTTGCTGGAAAGCAGGAAATGGTCATATTCAAAAAGGCTAAAAGAGACAGACTGCCAGACTACTGAAAAGTAGGTGTATCCACAGAAATCCTGGAATACTTTCATATATAATGAATGTGATATCAACTTTTGGAATCCAAATTGATTGCCAAGTCAATTCATAGGGTTTATGTTTTGTAAAAATCACATTTCCAAAAGCTAATGTACACACAAAAATTAGTAGATCCACAGTAGAGGCTCAAAAAAATAAACTGGTCTTTAACTTTTCCCCTCTCTTTTTCTGTAATTGGACAGAAAATATAATTCTTCTGTGCAAATCCCTTGACACAGGTTTAGCTCTAGGCATCCCTACAACAGGCACAGGAGGAAATTAAAAAAAAAAAAAAAGAAAAACAAAACCGAAACATAAACATTTGCATCAAGGCAGAAATGTAAAAAAGTACATTAAAACACATCCATAATCATAAGCAGCAACTTTCAATACTAGATTTCTTCTATTTGCAACAGAAAACCAAGAAATAAATGTCACAGAACTGTATCAGTTCAGATACCCTTTTGGTCTGTGTAGTTAGGATATCAGTTCCACCACTATGTCATGAACACAAGAAAAAAAAATTCCACACAAGAAAGATATCTTCAAGTGTGTTAAACCCAGGAATACAAAACCGAGCTGCATTTAAATCATCACTGAATAACCAAAGAAATTACTAATACAGTGAAGTAAGCTTATTTTTAGTCCAAAGTTTGTCAGAGGTCTTATCAGAAGAACTTTTTCTTTCAAGAGAAAGTGATGGGAAGGGAACACCGTTAAAATCAGATGTTGAAAACAGTCAGTGACTTTCCAGTTATCTCCAACAAGAACAAACACAAAGGATTAACCTGACTGTTGAGGGCTTTAGGCACACACCACAGAAGCACCTACTTCATTGGTTTTCTAGTTTAAAAGGGCTGGGAACAGCACGGAAGCAGCCGGTCTCTCCGTGCAAGGGAAATGAGGGCAACAGGAATATTTGGAGGAGTAACTCAAACAGAAAGAAAAGGTGACATTCATGAGAGAAAAGCACTAGCCTTCATCTACAAAGTACAACACCCGCTTTCTGATTTTATTCTTAGAATTTCCAGCAAAGAACTACTGTAATAAAACATCGATATATGGTAAAATCCATAAAGAAAATTGAAGTGGAAAATATGCCCTCACCTTAGAGACAAGAAATGAGGCAGGAAATCAAATCACTGGTCTGTTCAGCCCAACGGCTCTAGTTTTTATGAATTAGGGTTACTGAAATACTTTTTCCTGTAAAAGAAGTTGTTGAAAATCTGTTGTCTATATTAGTGGTTAACTGACAGGGGAAAGGGGATAGACAACAAATGCATACTATGGCAGAGTCCTATGGCATGGGGAGAATGCAAATAAGTGTGTGTTTAATTGCCAGAACCTAAACAATACATTGAAATGTTTCCACCGATACGTTAATGAAGGTCACTTGCCACCTCTGAACAGAGAATCACAAGGTTTTCAAGATGAGCACTCAAAGTCTTCTTTAAACATTTCAGGCTATAAACAAAATTAATTTCTTAAATCTATCTACATTTCCTAATTAACCAATTTAGTGATGGAAATCATGACCTTTAATAAAAAGGCATCTGACATGAAGTTTTGATCACTGTTGCTGTGGTGAAAAACATTGAAATAAACACTTAATCTTTCATTAAATATTAAATAGATAACAACATGGTAAAAGGTATGTGCAGTGTTGCTTTCTGAATTTCATCTTCTCTAAAGTCCTTATTTACAGCAATTGTGAGAGAATTGTGGAACAGATATGGAAGATATAAAGCAGGATATAAATCTTCTCTTTCTATATGAAAGTTTCTGTGAACAATTACCAACAATTTTAGAGTCCAGTGATTTGCCCATAAATGCATAAGAACTATTTTCACACAAAAGCTTTTAATTAATCCCAAAATTGTCCAACACAATGGGACAAATCTTTGTGACTGCAAATTGATAAACATTCTTTGATCAAAACAGGGGTGAGGGGGGAACACGACAGCTTTTAAGGTACTTTGAAAAGCATCTTAAGAACCACAGTGAAGGAAATAAGGAAAAAAAGCATCCACACAGAACATGATGAAAGAAAAAAAACCTTTAAAGAAAGCTGGAGCTACTACTGTGTTTGAGAATCCTAAAGATGTTACCAAAAGACACCAATTATCTAATTTCAAAACCACACCTTCCTGCCACCAGATATGGAAGATATAAAGCAGGATATAAATCTTCTCTTTCTATATGAAAGTTTCTGTGAACAATTACCAACAATTTTAGAGTCCAGTGATTTGCCCATAAATGCATAAGAACTATTTTCACACAAAAGCTTTTAATTAATCCCAAAATTGTCCAACACAATGGGACAAATCTTTGTGACTGCAAATTGATAAACATTCTTTGATCAAAACAGGGGTGAGGGGGGAACACGACAGCTTTTAAGGTACTTTGAAAAGCATCTTAAGAACCACAGTGAAGGAAATAAGGAAAAAAAGCATCCACACAGAACATGATGAAAGAAAAAAAACCTTTAAAGAAAGCTGGAGCTACTACTGTGTTTGAGAATCCTAAAGATGTTACCAAAAGACACCAATTATCTAATTTCAAAACCACACCTTCCTGCCACCTCCACAAAAAACTAATCAACTACTGGGTACAATTAATCATTTCCTCAAAAAGAGAGCAGAAAGCCACCAAACTCTCTTTACATTAAAGCACCACATAGTAGCCAAGTGACCTTTTATTAAAGTTACATTAATTGCATTTAACCTTACATTGATCTTAAGAACCACAGTGGAGGAAATAAAAGAAGGAAAAAAAGCATCCACATAGAACACAATGAAAGAAAATAAACCTTTAAAGAAAGCTGAAGCTACTACTGTGTTTGAGAATCCTAAAGATGTTACCAAAAGACACCAATTATCTAATTTCAAAACCATAACTTCCTGCCACCTCCACAAAAAACTAATCAACTACTGGGTACAATTAATCATTTACTCAAAAAGAGAGCAGAAAACCACCAAAATCTCTTTACATTAAAGTACCACGTAGTAGCCAAGTGACCTTTTATTGAAGTTACATTAATTGCATTTAACCTTACATTTTCTGGGAAGGGGAGAAGAGGAGGAAGTACCTTTTTATACAACACGTGCAGCAAGTTCAAAAGTACAGCTGAGACCTTATGATCAGATAGAGAAATTAAAATGGTTTGGTGAAATCAAAACCACACAATATCGTCTTTTAACCGTATTTCCTCTTCATTCTCTTAATCTTAAAAGACCTGTAAGGATGTTACCAAAAGACACCAATTATCTAATTTCAAAACCACACCTTCCTGCCACCTCCACAAAAAACTAATCAACTACTGGGTACAATTAATCATTTCCTCAAAAAGAGAGCAGAAAGCCACCAAACTCTCTTTACATTAAAGCACCACATAGTAGCCAAGTGACCTTTTATTAAAGTTACATTAATTGCATTTAACCTTACATTTTCTGGGAAGGGGAGAAGAGGAGGAAGTACCTTTTTATACAACACGTGCAGCAAGTTCAAAAGTACAGCTGAGACCTTATGATCAGATAGAGAAATTAAAATGGTTTGGTGAAATCAAAACCACACAATATCGTCTTTTAACCGTATTTCCTCTTCATTCTCTTAATCTTAAAAGACCTGTAAGGTGGCAGATATACTACCTGGCATATTGCAACAGAGAAAGAACTGACTTCCCATTGATGTAGATGTACATGGAGATGTGTCAATGACATCATGCAGATGTGACACTTACAGACATGGTCTAGTGGTGGACCTGGCAGTGCTGGGTTAACAGTTGGACTCAATGATCTTAAAGGTCTCTTCCAAGTTAAATTTTATGATTCTCTGATGCTGAGCACAAGTTTCTTGCTAGTATATGCTACCTGCTGAAATTAAAAAAAAAAAGGAGTGTAGTTGAAGTAGTAAGATACACTGTATAAAACTTAATTTCTATTCTGCAAGGCAAAACTCCTTTGGTGGTAAAATATGTGATATGGAGTAAAGTATATTAGACTTTCTACTATGCATCTCACCATGTAAACTTGGCCAAATTGAGACCGTCCCATTTAAGAACACTCCACTGATACCTCTTGCATGCTATGTCTCAGGTTGGCAATGTAAAATTGCATTTGGAGACCCAAAATTCAACCTGTGGGCGAGAAACCTTATATTGAATACAAATTAAAGAGTAAGAAAATCCTAAAAAATAATAGCAGACCAGTTTTCTTTTACTCTGTTACTTCTTCATACTAATAAATAAGCAAAAAACAAGGGATTTTAAAGAATTTTTATTGACAGTTTTACAAAATAATCCTTAATAAATAATATCTTGAGCAGCACTTAAGACCCCTCTTCATCTGCTTCTTGGTTTTGTATGACACGTAAAGACAGAAATTGCATTAAGTTCTCTGCATGTTCACTGTAATGCAAGAACTTGTTGCTTATCCTCCAGAATTTCTTCCTCATGATCCACCTGGCTTTCATCCCAGTCCCTTAAAAAAAACATATAACAGTGATTTTCAGCAGCTCAAATTCCTCAAGCTACTCTGCTATAAATTGTATCGATGTATGTTCACATATGTGGAACTAAAAGGCATGAAAACAGCTCTTGCTGTATATTTTGCAAGTATACATACATTACAAGCTACTACTTCCATTTTTTCCCCTCAGTTTGCATCACAGACCTTTTCACCTCTTAAATAGGAAGTAAATAACATTGCCACTAATGCACCTTAATAGAGAAATCCCACAGCCTAGAACAGGTAAACCAGGAAAGTGGGTCTCATTTACAGTATCCACACTATTTGCAAATATTGTTCAGTTTCCTACTGACTTGCAATTTCAATATTATGATGATTTTTTTTAAATAAAACCCACCCAATCACAAACCTCTGAATGAGCTATATTCTCATAGTGTGTAGTTAGCCTCACAGTGTCTCACTGACCCTTACTAGTTACGAGATCATAGTAAGAAACCAATGACACAGAGAACTTTGGGAACTTCCTTGTATCCAGTCATGTCCTTAGCCTCCATGGCAATATAAAAGATTGCTATAATAAGTTACAGTGAGTTAAATGTTATTCGCTCCCCAGTTCAAAACTGCTCTTTTTAAAGGTACCTTACAACCAAAGAACTTCGATTTCTAATAGACGTACCTTATAAATCTCAGTGCTGTATATAAACAAAAACTAATGCATTAAAAATTAAAAACATAAGCCCAAAATCTGGGAGTCTCAACAACAAAATATATCACTTAATTCTTCGTCTGAGCTGACAGAGAGTACTGGCTTAGAACACCAAGATACAAAATAGGTCATGATGAAATTTGTAATCAGCATGTAAAGTACAATCAGAAAGTCAAGACTGTTTTTATTTCAGTTCTGGCAAGATGTCTGACATATTGAGCATTTTACAATATCATAAAGACATACTCAGCAAGTTTAACTTACCTGAGAGTATCAACTCTGCTTTCATCTTTTAGCTCCAGGTTTTGATGGAAATCTGTAGGATTTCTATACATCTTCTCTGAGTGTCTGCTGGGGGAGGTTACATCTTCAGAAGTTAAGCTGTAATGTTTTTCAGGACCTGAAATATTTTAGGTAATTTCAGGGACAAATATAAACAAAAAAATGCAATATCTACACTATCAATTCTAAAGAATTTCACAGTATCAGCAAAAACTCGCCGTTAAGAGTCTCAAAACAACTACAAATCCTCAAATAAATTAGGACTTTTTATTATATGGCTCCTCTATCATTAAAAGGAATGGAAAGGGTTTGCTTCCAAGATATTTATGCCAGTACAGTATGAAACCTTTTACAACAGGGCTCACTATTACCTATGGGATCTCAAAACACAGCAGCAAATGCAGAACTCAGGGAGCTGCCTAATGGGAGTATATATTGTATGAAAAAGTATAGCATAACCTAAGGTAAAAATTTTTTATAATATAGGTCACTCTGGAATCCAGACTACTTTTGTTTACTGAAGATGCATCACAGCCAGGATTTACCAATATGAAAGCACAACAGCAAATCAGAAGGGAGGGACCACGTTACAGCCAAAAAGATGCAGTCTATCAAGACTGCTTATGGCAAAAATTGTCTCAGACACTTGACCCACCTCTTCACTGAGGTGGAACAGAAGCATCCCAAGCATTTTGGTTTTTTTTATTTGGGTTTTTTTTCCCCCAGTATTCAAAAAACAAAACCAGAACTCACTCATCTGTTCAGGTGTAACCAACTGACCCTGGCTGCCTGCCACTGCTACACACCTCCACACCCCCACCTTCTGAAAAACCAAGAAGCTTGTCTTAAGAAAACCATCTGGTTTCTAACAACACCTGGGGTGTTTGTTATTAAACATCCAAGGAAAATGTACTCATTTAAATGAAATTCATGATCTGCAATAGTACCGAGAACATCTTGCAGACCTCTGTTAACAAAAATGCAAGAAATGATAAAATTTTTTAAAAGTTGCATGGGGGTAAAAAATTTAAGAAAGTAGCATGAAACAGTTTGCTTTACTAAATTAAGAGTAATGTATGATCGAACAGAAATTAACCACTGTTCAGCCATAAAGAAGTCTTTCATGGTCAAATGGTTTAGCACCAAAATCAGTTAGATCTGAGAAGGCAAATGAAACAGCTACTTGTTTCCATGACATTACTTCAAAACATGAGGAAAAACAAACCTAAACAATGCTGTCACTTGCCTGCATAACTTAGTAATTCTTTTTCCAGAGTAAGTAGGGCTTCTTGGTCAGCAATATACTCCCAAAGATCCTCGTCCTGTTTAGTTATATCAACGCACTTGTTTTCTGGTATCTCAGTATTAACTCTCAACGAACACACAGGTGAACTCTTGGGTCTTGGCTGAGTGTTTGTTGGACAATTTCCAGATAATTTACCATGTAGCACATTTGTTGACCAAGGTCTTCTAGAATCATTCCCTGAAATAACAGAAAAGGTCATAACTTCTAATAATTGAAGATTTCACAGAAAAATAATTCAATCTCAGCTCATTAATGACATTAATTGCAGTTAAAATTATTAATTGATTCAAACAGATTATTCCTTTTGCTTAGGATTGTGAATTAATAAATGTTAATAAACAGCTTACAACTATACTGGGAAGTAGCACCTCATACCTCAGGGACACCTTTCAGAAAAAAATATTTAAATATTACGTGCAATGGCACAAATTTTGGGGGAGGGCAGAGACTGAGAATGTCTGTAGAAAGCTTAAAACTTTGGCTCTGTCTTTTTTTTTTATTTAATGCAACCTGAATAAAATACAGACACTTTCAAGTATTCTTCAGGGATTCCAAATTGACAGTTTCAATTTCTACACACAGTGTTTTTAAAATTAAAATGCCAAACTGGTTGCTTAAGATGAGAGAAATAATGTAAGGTATGTTCTTTCAGACGGATACAATTGAAATTGAGAAAAGTAACTAAGAAGTGCATAGGCATTTACCCATTACTTTTTTCCGTGTTTCTTATTGTTCATGTAATAAAACTTATTTCAGTAGCATGAAGAAATCTTTTATTAGATCAAAGTCATATTGTACTAGATGCTGCAAAACACACAGTAATACATAATCTTGTTCTAGAAAAGATTATTATCTAAATATTCAAGCTAAGAGGGAACTAATAGCATAGAAGCAGGAGTAGAAACTAAGTGCAATATAAATAATCATTAGTGACAGCTGGAGAGAGATGATTTTTAACTCAAACCCACATTCTTATGAAAACAATGCCATTATACCCAAAATACAAATAAATACATGAAGATATAAAAATTACCTAAATTCAGCAGAATCGTCATCACATGCACTTCTATACCTTTTACACACAAAAAATTAACCTGTTGAAGGAGGACCTCAGAGCTGTTCTTCCTTACCTAAGCACGACCTCCCTGCTACCAGAGGAGAAGTTTTATTTGGAGTCTCCAAACCACCTGGAAGTCTGTTCAATTGGCTCTCCAGGACACCTTGAACTACAGAGTCATCAGCGTATTCACTCAAGCTCCTTTCAGTAACCCAGTTTCCATCTCCTGCAATTAAAGGGTATTAGAGGAAATCATTTGCAGGTTTTGTGTTAATATGAATTTACTGTTACTATATTTACTGTATTTAATGTGCGCGATTTAAAGAAGTCATGCAACAAGTTTTCTACACTAATGTAAAACATATATATAAAAAACACACTAACAAGCTTAAATTCAAGTGACATACTTGATCAAATTAATATTCATGTTCAGCAAGCATTTTACGTGTTGTTTCATATACACTATTAAAAGCAATAGGATAATGATACCTTTTTTTTGTGTGATACGTATTACACACAAAGGAAAGCAGAAATTCCTACTGGAACCAAATTCTTAGGGGACATAAAGAAGCATATAAATCTATAGCACTATACTGATGTAATTTACTCAATGTAGTAAGTTTATTTTACTCCTCCATAGCATCACTTGCATGTGTTGCCATGACTGTTACCCAGAAGAGACTTCTAAAACTAAGCTAGAACCATGTTACATGAAGATAAGGATGCCTTACAGCAACAGTGATAAATATGTCTATTGTTTGAGGACTTCATTCACACACTATTACCTGGAAACAGAATGCTACTCCCCATAGGGCCAGAGTCAGCACAGAGTGGAGAATGTGCTTCAAGCGTTACTCCTTTACAGTTTGCACCTACAAAGAAACCTTCAAGTCCCCAATACTGCGTAGAAAGAAATTTCTGTCTTTTGGCTACATCCTGTAATTTGAATAAAACACAAATATATTAGAAACAGGAAAAGAAACATGAAACTTCATAAATTGCCAGTAAAATGTTCACTTCATAAAACTTGGAAATATTCTGATAGCCTGGTGCAATAGATATTCATAATGATGATGTTTTTGCATGATATATGCTTTAAAATCCTATAAACTTCAGTCGCTAATGATATGAGAGCTATTCTTCCACTGTGGAAATGTAAAGCAGTTTTTCTTTGTTTTCACTTATCTTTGGGTACATCAACTAGAGTAATACTGTTTAACAATGACTCCAAATCCAATGTCCCAACCTCCTCCATGATTTTTTGCTTTCAATTTTACTTTCAGCAAAAGAACATTTGAATAATTTAGGTTAGATAAGAGTATCTACAATTTTTAGCATTCAGTTGAGAGGTAAAGCGACCCCTAACACAGGGAGTAACATGGGAAGAGCTGCCTTCTACCCCAACACTTTTTTTTTTTATTTGTCTGAAACTAGTCTGTTATTTCATTTGCTTTTTTTGACCATCAACAGAAGACTGACAATACAAAGCAGAAAGCACAGAGGGCTTCATCCCCTACATATGAAATATGGCAGGCAGTGACAATCCTCTGATTAAAATCATACTCTTGATTGCTTTGCAGTGGGGTTCCAGAAGGTTTCCTGGAGAAAAGTGGTAGATTATTTAATGGTAACCACACAACTATCACAATCTCCAAACTGATTCAGGAACATGGTATGTTGCCTCATGCTAAACTGGGAAAGCAGATTAAGCAACATAGTTTATTTAGCAATCAAAGATAAAATATTTTACCAATGAAGACTTCGTAATTACAGGCAAAACCAAACTTGGACTATTGCAGACACCATCCGGCTCTTGTGAATCTTTATTGCTTTTCTGCAATTGTGTATCAATGAGATATTTGTTGCTTATTAGTTCAGTAGGGCTAGAGAACTTCTCAGGTAGTTCACAGGAGCTAAGTGACCTTCTCATAGCCTTTAGTTCAATACTCTCCTTTTGCACTGCATTTCTTTCAAGACGACTGCAGTCAACCATTTTTTCTACAACAAAATAATGAAAATAGGAATTTATTTTTTTTTACAGAAATGAATATGAATTATAACCTGCAAGTCTACTATGTTTTCTTCATGAACTTAAAATATGAAACCTCCACTGAAGTTATCCCTAAGCCATAAAATGAGCTCACAGCTTTGAGATTACTGTCATAGCAGATGCCTACCATTTCAAAATAGCTTGCACAGCCCATCAAATTGTGGTCAAGGGACCTGCATAGCTAAGCGAATGGTACATAATTTAACAATCTTTAATTATTTTTTACAGACAACCATCATAGTTGATTACCACTTCCCATATGAGAATGCTAAAACTGTATACACTTATGTAAATCATACCAATAACTTTACCTTGAGAAACTTCTTTAGAATAAACAGGATTTCTGTCAAGAGGAAAAGAAAAAGATACTGAGTGTCAGCTGTGGACATCTCATTAAGCCTACAGATTCTCTCTGCAAAAGGTCTTGTACTGGGTCCTTCTTATCTGCAACTCCTGAACCACTTTATTAAGACTCTTAATTTTGCCTGTAGTTAAAAGTGTAGTCAAGTGAGAGTATCTAAAAGTACAAAACTCTGACCAATTACAGACTTGCCTATATGCTGGTCCCTGCTCCTACTAAGGTAAGAACATATGAAAGAGACATTCTACCTGTAACTCAGGACATAAACATATAAAGAAATGCATTTTACATGGTTTAACATTAGAGTGATCAAGCAAACAAAATAAACATATTTCAAAATGATGTCTTTCTAGTTACAGGCAACTAATACACCTTGGTTTCTCACTGATAAAGTCAAAGACACAAACTTACTGCTCACTAACTTTAATGGTAAACATGTCATAGGCCCATTAATTGCCAAACTGTTCTTACATCTTACAAATTAGTCATTGAATCATTAGGTCCTTCAAATGAAAACTTCCAAGCACAAAAGAAGCAATCACAGACAGGATCTTGGAAGAAATGTAAAGGGAGGGAGAGGAGTAACTAAGTGTCACTAAGTCATGACACTGGCATAGTCTGTGTTTAAGATGTTTATCTTTAACATGCCTTAAAACAATTTACAACTTATAATCAAGGATTCTCCCCATTCATATGAAGTATGACTGCCTGCAAGTAAAGTGCCTGTTATTTAGGAACACAACTAAGTCAGGAGACAGGGTTATTCCTCTTTTCTCTTCCAAACAATCTCTGCATTTCTGATACCTTTCATACTGCTTCAGAGGTTCAGCTTTTCCTTGCTTATTCCTTCCCGTAGCCCTAGCTTCCATCAACAAAAAGTCAGATGATTCTTCCAAGTCCTTGCCATAAGACTAATTAAAAAACAAAACCAAAGAAACCACATTCATCAAAAGACTGAAATTCGAAAAAGTATTAGCTCAAGTGACTAAAAGCCTGCAGATTTTATTTTTGTATAATTTGTGTATAGTAAGGGTCCCTGGACACAACAGGAAAAATTTACAGGGAAACTATGGAAGGTAAATTTTCCACATTTGTACGGAAAAGATAAAAAAATGCACCTTTTTTAAAAATTAGAAATTATTTAGCTGTTGGTACTTTAAGTATCTAAAAGATCAACATTTAAACAAATCAATTAGGATCACTGTGAAGATTCATGAAGTGATTTATTACATACTTACATCATCAAGGAACTCAATTTTCAAAGATGACTCTGCACTTTCAGAAACAGTGTTGGGTACTTGTTCTCTAAAAACAGATGTCCAATATCTCTTCACCTCTTCAACTACAAAATATAGTTAATTTGATGCATTTCATTTTTTCCTGTTCGAGATTCACTTATACAAGTGCAAACTTTTTATTTATTATGAAGTATCATATATTTCTCCTGCTTAAGTATGTGATTGTTCAGCAATCATAGCAAAAAAAAAAAAAAAAATCACAAGAAAAAGTATTTAATAGTTCTATTCAATAAATAGAAATCTATTACACCTGTTAAGTCATCGACATCATCATCTCCTTCTTCCTCTTCTGCAGTCACAGCCTGATGTTCACTCAGTGTCTGTACAGGCCTTGAATCTTTAACGCAACTACCAGAAATTTGATCAACAGGAGTTCTAAAGAAGGAAAAGAAATCAATCTTAAAGTCATCTTATTTGAAGATAATATCACAGTCATTAAGAAAACCAACCAAACAAAAAAAAGACACCCCACATTATTTATTGCAGCAGCATTAACCGCTGCTGAAAAGCAGCAACTCCTTTTAATTTCATTGAGATGACCTCACACCTCAGGGACTAACAAAACAACTCCGTAATGTTTATAAAAGTGTCCTGAAGATCGTACTTCCTTTTCCATATAAAGTTCCTGTAGCATCAAGCAGCCGTCATTATCAGTCTTCAAATACTACAATAAACTGACAGCAAAGAGAATCCCTCCAACTACTCCCTCTGCAGCAATTCTGAAATATTAAGTCACCGAGTCTGGTTATATTATCACAATAAAGCACATTGTACAGTCACCTTAACTCTTGATAATGTATCTAATATTTTAAAAGTTTCCATGACATTTTTGTTAATGGTATTACGTAGTTCTGTCCTCTTTCATTGCTACCAGCAACTTCAACAATACCTTCTGTATTTCTTAAGCAAGAGTTTCTCCATGTAGCTCATGCCGTCCTTCTTGAATTCAATGTGGACAGGTTCCTTCATCACAGTAAAATTGGTCTGTACCTCACAAATTCCCACCGATTCTATTGGAATTATTTAAAACAGATTTATACAGCTATTCCGATTTATAAACTTGTCACTTAACTACATTATTTCTGAATGAATATCACATTAGTAGTCTATGCCTAGCTAAGTTTTTGCATAATTCCAAAATCTAAATGGCCAGCACTTTACACGAAGCAGTCAGCAGTGGGGGTAGCCAGTAAAACTTCATTTATCACAGCTTCTCACATAAAGGAAGATTATCACATTGGGCAGGGGATGGAGGTAGGGAACAATCCATGACTCCACAGATAAAAATCCCACCATTTCACAGGAAAGAAGAAAAAAGAAAAAGAAAAAAAGAAATCAGTATAATATTTTTTGTACAAAACCACACAAAGAACAAGCTGGAGAAAAGAGGCTAGCTTCCACAAATCCAATCAGACAAGAGGGGGTTTTTCATATTTTTCCATGCATATTTCAACTGGCTGCATCTTTTCACTGGGACAAAGAAATACTAAGAGCATGTGGAAGGCAAGCAGAAAATATACTTGTTAAAAGAGCGTTACAGTTCATATTAAAGTCTCACGTGACAAACAATGCCACAGAAAAGTACAGGGACACAAGCTAAACAACCTGGCCAACACTACAGTTGGGATAAACACTAATCAGCACCTTATTAAAAAAAACAAACAACAAACCTCAGAGATTGTTGTTATTTTCTGAAGGAACACAGAGAGAAAATTTAAGAAGAAACATTTAATATTCTAAGAGAACATCTACCTTCACTAATCAAAAATCTGCTAACTCACCAAAATGGCTCCTAATGTTTTCAAAATGCAATTAAAACAGGAAAAAAAACCCCCATACCTGGCAGGACTTCACTGGCACGCAGTTGTTCTTTGTGATCACGACTACCTTTTCTCCATTGAAGTAAAGCTTCCTGAAAAGACTTTGCAGATTCCTCCTCATTAAATGTACCATTTAGCAATAATCCTTTGTCCTGATTTTCAAGGCCTGTACACGTTGATTCTGTGGACAGTTCCTAAATCAGTTCCACAACGTAATTAATACAGCACTTCTGATGATAACCCTCTCCCCAGCTACAATAACATTTTCAGTATCAGTATGGAAATACAGCACCCTGTTTTCTGGGCTTAGTCCAGCTACCCTGGTAATCAAGATCACTCAATTTTCATGAGGTCTTGCTCACAACTAAATTCCAATGTTCTATCAACAGCAAAATAAGCTAAACAAAAAAAAGTTCATATAAATACACAAAAAACTTAACTTCAATACTTTTAGCAGCAGAAAGCAGTAACCATGGAGAGCCTATGTGCAGGATGGATATTATGTTGACAGACATGAACAGGGATCAATGGGCTGTGCAAGTCTGACAGCCCTGTCCCTCACTTGGTACACTGTGGGAATACCTAAGGCCACTAAGCCTAAGATGTCCTAAACAACAAAAAGAATATTTTTTTCCAAACTTTACACTACCTCAGCACTGCCTACTGATGCTAGCAGAGAAGAAAACTTGCTGATATGACCTACTGCTCACTATTTACCTTCTTCTGCTCATGATTAACTTTCAATTCATGCAGATTTACCTCCCTGATGTGATCAACGGCTTCCAATTTTCCAACACGTATATCAGCTTCTGTCTGTTAATGAAACATTAAGAAACCATTCATTTATTATAAAGACAATCAAACATTCCACCAAACACAATATTAAAAGCAGGAAGGTAACCGCATATTGAAGAGTGAGGGTGAAATATACACATAACAACTTCAATAATCAATAGTGTGCAAATGTGTGAGCAAAAATGGAATAATCTGAATATTCCCTTAGGTGCTACACAGGACAGACAAAGTGAGGCGTTTAATGTAGCACATACCATTTAAACAAATTTATGAGCAATGTACTTCATTGGAATCACAGATTCATAGAATTGTCTAGGTTGGAAGGAAACTTTAAGATCATCTAGTCCAACCATCAACCGAACTCTGATAAAAACCATCACAAAACCATGTCTCTAAGCACTATGTCAAACCGTCTTTTAAATACCTCCAGGGATGGTGCCTCAACCACTTCCCTGGGCAGCCCATTCCAAGGCTTAATAACCCTTTAAGTGTAAACATTTTTCCTAATCTCCAATCCAAACCTCTCCTGGAGCAACTTGAGGCCGTTTCCTCTTGCCCTATTGTCTGTGATTGGGAGAAGAGACCGATCCCTGCCTCTCTGCACCCTCCTTTCAGGTAGTTGTAGAGAAGGAGAAGGTTCCTTTTCTCCAGGCTGAACAAGCCCAGCTTCCTCAGCCTCTCCTCATAAGGCTTATTCTCTAAATAATTAATTAGTAATTAGTTAACGAAGTTCTGCTTACTGAAGCTTTTCAGTAGACAGAAACACATCTGTAGAGGTCAAGAGGAGGAAAATGTTCATCCAAGGAACTGAAATACCCGTTCACACACAAAAAATAGTCCAGGAAAGTCCAAACTATCAAGAACTAGATGAGTTTGACTGAAAATAGCTACAGAAAGAAAGTAACAGTTTTACTCACACTGGGATTTGCAACCTTCATTAGAATAATGAAAATTACTCGGAAATGTGATATGAAGGTTTTCATTGTCAACTCTTGAATGATTATCAAGCAAAAACAAAGCAAAACAAAAAAAAAAAATTATGTTCAACCTTTCCCTGTGCATGGAGACCAGAAGGAAAGACCCTTTGTCTATAAAAACCCCAAGTAATAAACACATTCTTGCCACGAAAACACAAAAGCAGTAAAGGCAGAGGCAGAAAGTGTCATCAGAAAGTCAAGTATGTCAAGCAGCCATTGCAAACCCAGGATGTATTCACATCTCCTTTCCACCTACTCTACACTATCATCGAGCCAGTGACTTTGCAGTTGCTGTTGCTCATTAAATGCTACTTTTAAGGTGCCAGTGAGTATACAAATGCAGGGAGACTAATCGCTTCAAATAGCAGCTACTTATTCCCTTCTGCAGTCTTCCTCTGATTCTTACACTCTTCTGCAGGATGAATAAGGTTCAAAGTATACTGTATGAACACGCCTGCTTTGCCTTTTTCCTCAAACCTAAGAGTCCATAATCACCCATAACTGTTAGCAAATCTTTATTCCCCAGCATCACCAACACACAGAGGTCACAGAAGCACATACTTAAAGAAAGGAATTTCTCTCTGTAATAGCCCTTCTTGGCTCATTGCTTCCTATGCCACATGCATTCAAAAGTAAATAGCTAAAGATTGCGTTGATTTCTTTTTCACTACATAAACAAAATAATGTTAACATTACAGCAGAATTCAGTGGAAGTCACGTTCCTTTGGAGGAGATAATTTTAGTGCTGTAGCTTCATACACCTGCTCTCTTTGAGCCAGCACAGTTGCATTACGTATGGATCCTTCTGGTTCTCTGGCACATGGTATGTAACAGCAGATCAATACTTGAAAGGCTCACCCTGCTGCATTGTTTCTATAAACAACATCTTCATTGAAGTTTTGCTCAATTGCTTCAAAACACTTGTGCAAGAATTGCAAAACTGATTTTAGAGAATTATTCTTTGTTTTAGCCTCATCTTAAACTTCCTAGCAGCTGAACTCGATGTTAATTTTTCTCCTACTTTGATCACTAGCATCTCTCTCTGCACCCTTTTGTTACCTCTCTTTAATAATAGAGGAAGCTTCTAATTAGTTTCAGAGTAGGACTGGAGAGAATAAGGAAGAAAAGTAAAAGGGTGGCAGGGTAGAATCAAGACAACTTAAGGTGGAATTCTCCTGATGCAGATGGAGTGGTCATAGCACTCCACGATTCTCAATTTAAAGCCTTGTATTCCTCCAATGAACTGGCCTTTAACCCCCACAATAAATTCTAACATCTCAATCCAGTTTGTGTAGCACCAAAAATTAGGTAACTACCTTACCCCTTTAAATATACATATCTGTGGATCTCCAAGAGAATGCATTACAATTGTCAAGATTTATCACTTATGTTACTATTGTTACCACCCACCTTTCAGTTCTAGGTTTAAAAGATCTGCTACTGTCTATTTGAAAAAAATCCTAAACTGCCTGCATTTAGAGGTGTGTGGTAAAATATTTTTTTATATCCATGCAAAACAGCTCATGGAAAAACTTCCATGTTGACTGCATAACTCAGGATAACACACCATCCCAAAAAAGATGATTTATTGCTGGCTTTTTGCTGCTCACAAGATGCTGTATCTTTCTGTGACCGCCTTAAATTCTCACCTGAAGTTTTTCCATCAAATGATGTAATCTTTCTACTAACATACTACAAGCAAGGATCATTTTGACTAAGATTTATTTATCAGAACAATAGCTTTGACAATTTACTGCAGTACTAAAAGAATTATATTTTCAGGAAGAGAGAATGAGATAATCAAGTATATTTTAGGGGGAAAACAGAATGACACGTCCAGCAACACTATCAAAAAGTAATATTTCCCTTCAGGAAATCCTCATATGGTAGAACTGAAATAGTTAAATCAATCCTTTGTAATCGTAACAATGACAACAGAATCCAAACATTTTTTTCATAAGAAGTTCCTGACATGGCTTCCCTTGGATTCATTAAGACCAGCTATAAAAATTATCATTAACATAGAAATGAAAGAAAATGAAAACCAGCATAATAATCCATATTTGAAAAGTTATTAAAAAAGCAAATCATGGCATTTATCAAGATTAAATTTGGAACAACCTTAGGAGAACAAAAACAGTGGTTTTGTCCAAAAGACAAATTCCTAAATGCATGTACAATTTGGTGCAAAAAAGAGCTTTGACAACCAATTTATGAAATGCAATCAAATATAATGCATGAGAAACTTAAGTTTGCTACAATTAAGTGTTATACAATAATTCTAGGAGGAATCTTTACTACCGTAATTATAAAATTATAAAATTTTTATTGTTTCATAACAGATACGAGACAAAGTTTTATGTTAGAAACTGAGTATTACTGAGCTGAATAATAAAACTACACACAACTTAAGTCTCCACTGTTCTGTGAAACATTTTACTTCCATCACAGTTTATTCCTTTGTGAGTGGAATCCAATTATGAAAGAATCAAGAATGCTGAAAGTGGGGTCTGACAAGGACAGACATAATTCTAAATAGGAATTCAGAGTTTCAAGCTCTTATAACTGTATTTAAATTACAAGTAACATAGACTGTTAAATATACTCACAAGGCTATATAATTGTCTTTGAATAAACACCTTTTAGTACTTATAATTTTTTTTTCGAAAATATTTGACATCCAAATACTCAGAAACATCTCAAACAATATACCAATAACAATCTTTCAAAGAGTTTGTGTAAAAATCTCCTGTCCCAGTAATGTGTTCCACATCTCCACCAACTACCAATGGTTCAATTTATCTCAGTTTTCCACAAGGCATACGTAACTACAGACTCCATCAAGGCACAAGAAAAGACACCATGATTTTTTTCTCTGTATCATAGAATGATTTGGGTTGGGAGGGACCTTAAAGACCACGTAGTTCCCACCCCCTGCCCTGGGCAGGGACACCTCCCACCAGACCAGGTTGCTCCAAGCCCCATCCAGCCTGGCCTTGAACCCCTCCAGGGATGGGGCAGCCACAGCTTCTCTGGGCAACCTGGGCCAGTGTCTCACCACCCTCACAGGAAAGAGTTTCTTCCAAATATCTCATCTAAACCTCCCCTCTTTCAGTTTAAAACCGTTACCCCTTGTCCTGTCACTACATGCCCTAATAATGAGTCCCTCTCCATCTTTCCTGTAGCCCCTTTAGGTACTGTAAGGGGCTACAAGCTCTCCTTGAAGTCTTCTGGTCTCCAGGCTCAATAACCCCAACATGTAACAACCCGAATACGTATTGCAATAAAACAGCTTAGCTATTTCCTTCTACGAAAGCTCTTTTTTTCCCCCCAACTGAAAAACGTTCTACTGAATAAGAAAGTCACATGTGATGGTGTGAAAGCAATCCCCTTGCAACCCAAGCAGTGACAAAACCATGCCCTGCTACCCACCAGCGCTGCCTTCATCTTACAAGTGCTATTCGTGACCTACGAGCCTTAGCGGGGTCAGGAATTAAGCACTGAGAAGCACAGCTTCACCTCCAAGGGAGGGGGAGGCATTAAGGAAAAAGCAAATCGCGGCTCACTTCATCACAGAAGTAACGATTTCTAGGCAGGCCAACACTGCAATTAAGCAGAAGAGCTGCCTGTGTCGGGAACACCGGAGAAGCCGCCGGTGGGTGCGGGCGGGGCCGGGCCAGGCGGGAGCCTCCCGCGGGGGCGCAGCGCCGCCTGGCGGCCAGACCCGGCACAGCAGCCCAGGGCGGGCGGGATCCCGCCGGGGAAAACTGCCCTTTTCCAGGGGAAAAGCATGAAACACACACAAAACCACAATATCTGCTCCTTGTGGTTTGAGCGTTAGCACCTCCAACTTCCTTATTCTGCTATAAAATATACAAATATATACATACACAAATTTGTCATGGCATGTATTAGAGGGTGTGGGGGGAAATTTTTCTAAAACATCCTATTTTTTTATAAAAATAGCCATTTCCTACATTCATTTCTTTATTAAAGGCTATTTTCTACTCTATTTGCAAAAGTTACTTCAAAAACCGAACAGCACAGGACTACATCATATTTTGGAAGCTAGGTTTCCTACTTACACTTGTTAAAAGGCAAAAATCTCTCTATTAAATATAAATCACCTGATGGTCGATGATACTAATTTCCACCCTACCACAGCCAGCAAGTGCGGGCTCAGAAAGCAGCTAGAATTAAAAAACACACCTTGGCACTCATCGAAGTATTTAAAATTACAAAATATATACAGACCACTAAATTTTGCCCTATTTGCCTGAAACCATACATCTTCTTTTAATCACATGGCAGTGTTCTTTATTGAAGTGAGAGATCAGGCTCCTTCAGGCACAGTCACACGCTGGGCAAATTAATAAAAATACAGATTAAAGAAACTTTCTGTTAAAAAAAACAGTAACTGTCTGGATAACAGAATCATTTAATCTGTTTCCTTGCCATTCAGGGAGATCAGCATACAAAACCTCCTCTTACTTTATGGGCACTGAGTAGTTATCCGAGAGGGAAATCCTAAAATTAAAGTGGATATTTTGGGAAACAGGTGAAAAATCCTATTACTTTAATTTCAATTCCAGCAAGATAAGATATTTAAATAAAGTAGGATCAAATTATCCTCAAATACATAATTTTTTTCCTCTTTTTAAGCTGCTGCACATCTAAGAGTTGACACAGCACTTCAGGGTGACCATCTTAGAGAAGTCTTATTTTTCGCAGCAGAACAAACTGCAAAAATAATGTATTAAAAAAAAAATCTTCACAACGTATTATACTATATAATATACATATGTCTAGATGCTGCTACAAAGCTACAATATATATACACATTATATTCTGGTGCTAGATAATAATTTTTAAACCCCTTCCTTACCAGCAGCTCACTCTTAACTTCACCTCGTCCACACGCTGACCCCTTCACTTCAGATTCTTTATGAGCTACAGTATTTGCCATTTCATGCTTAAATGGTTCTTTCACTGGCTCTGGAAAAAAAAGAAATAAAAAACCCAACCAACCCAGTATTCCAGTCTCTGCTTTCTTTACTGCTTAATTGCAGCAACCTCCAAGAGCCAGATCTTCTACCAAGAAGCTCCTGAGTTTTTATTTAGTTAACAAAGATGTCTTTACCTTGAATCTGGTCTTTGAGTATTTGCAACTTCACTTTTCCTGAAGAAATCTATACAGAAGAATATTTATATTATTATAAACAAGGTGCGCTAATGAAAATAAATAAAAGCGTAACTTTTAGAGAATTAAAATGCTACTGATTCTAGGAAAATAGCCAAGGATCTATCCAAAGAGAAAATTCCATGTATGGCTCACGACAGCTGTTAAATCTGTGATCAAGGAAAAAGACTTGGGAGACCTGATGGACACCAAGATGACCATGAGCCAGCAATGTGCCCTTGTGGCCAAGAAGGCCAGTGGCATCCTGGGGTGCATGAAGAAGAGTGTGACCAGCAGGTCGAGGGAGATCACCCTCCCCCTCTACTCTGCCCCAGTGAGGTCCCATCTGAAGCACTGTATCCAGTTCTGGGCTGGACATAAGCTCTGTTATCACAATCAGTATGTAGGAGCACTTGTGAACATTATTTGATGATGGATACACCCAATGCTTGCTGCCATGATGGATAAAGCCTCAAGGACAAGAGCCTAAGCTATTAAAATGATGAATTCATTTCACCAGAGAATGAAATATTAAGACTAGGTTATTAAAGTTGGAAGTGACAACACACCCTACAAGGTCCAGTCTTCAGCTACTTACAAATTTTACCAACTTTAACCACTCATACATCTGCCTTATCCTTACCCCAGGGCGGGCGGGATCCCGCCGGGGAAAACTGCCCTTTTCCAGGGGAAAAGCATGAAAAACGCACAAAACCACAATATCTGCTCCTTGTGGTTTGAGCGTTAGCACCTCCAACTTCCTTATTCTGCTATAAAATATACATATATATATACACAAATTTATCATCGCATGTATTAGAGGGTGTGGGGGGAAATTTTTCTAAAACATCCTATTTTTTTATAAAAATAGCCATTTCCTCCATTCATTTCTTTATTAAAGGCTATTTTCTACTCTATTTGCAAAAGTTACTTCAAAAACCGAACAGCACAGGACTACATCATATTTTGGAAGCTAGGTTTCCTACTTACACTTGTTAAAAGGCAAAAATCTCTCTATTAAATATAAATCACCTGATGGTCGATGATACTAATTTCCACCCTACCACAGCCAGCAAGTGCGGGCTCAGAAAGCAGCTAGAATTAAAAAACACACCTTGGCACTCATCGAAGTATTTAAAATTACAAAATATATACAGACCACTAAATTTTGCCCTATTTGCCTGAAACCATACATCTTCTTTTAATCACATGGCAGTGTTCTTTATTGAAGTGAGAGATCAGGCTCCTTCAGGCACAGTCACACGCTGGGCAAATTAATAAAAATACAGATTAAAGAAACTTTCTGTTAAAAAAACCAGTAACTGTCTGGATAACAGAATCATTTAATCTGTTTCCTTGCCATTCAGGGAGATCAGCATACAAAACCTCCTCTTACTTTATGGGCACTGAGTAGTTATCCGAGAGGGAAATCCTAAAATTAAAGTGGATATTTTGGGAAACAGGTGAAAAATCCTATTACTTTAATTTCAATTCCAGCAAGATAAGATATTTAAATAAAGTAGGATCAAATTATCCTCAAATACATAATTTTTTTCCTCTTTTTAAGCTGCTGCACATCTAAGAGTTGACACAGCACTTCAGGGTGACCATCTTAGAGAAGTCTTATTTTTCGCAGCAGAACAAACTGCAAAAATAATGTATTAAAAAAAAAATCTTCACAACGTATTATACTATATAATATACATATGTCTAGATGCTGCTACAAAGCTACAATATATATACACATTATATTCTGGTGCTATATAATAATTTTTAAACCACTTCCTTACCAGCAGCTCACTCTTAACTTCACCTCGTCCACACGCTGACCCCTTCACTTCAGATTCTTTATGAGCTACAGTATTTGCCATTTCATGCTTAAATGGTTCTTTCACTGGCTCTGGAAAAAAAAGAAATAAAAAACCCAACCAACCCAGTATTCCAGTCTCTGCTCTCTTTACTGCTTAATTGCAGCAACCTCCAAGAGCCAGATCTTCTACCAAGAAGCTCCTGAGTTTTTATTTAGTTAACAAAGATGTCTTTACCTTGAATCTGGTCTTTGAGTATTTGCAACTTCACTTTTCCTGAAGAAATCTATACAGAAGAATATTTATATTATTATAAACAAGGTGCGCTAATGAAAATAAATAAAAGCGTAACTTTTAGAGAATTAAAATGCTACTGATTCTAGGAAAATAGCCAAGGATCTATCCAAAGAGAAAATTCCATGTATGGCTCACGACAGCTGTTAAATCTGTGATCAAGGAAAAAGACTTGGGAGACCTGATGGACACCAAGATGACCATGAGCCAGCAATGTGCCCTTGTGGCCAAGAAGGCCAGTGGCATCCTGGGGTGCATGAAGAAGAGTGTGACCAGCAGGTCGAGGGAGATCACCCTCCCCCTCTACTCTGCCCCAGTGAGGTCCCATCTGAAGCACTGTATCCAGTTCTGGGCTGGACATAAGCTCTGTTATCACAATCAGTATGTAGGAGCACTTGTGAACATTATTTGATGATGGATACACCCAATGCTTGCTGCCATGATGGATAAAGCCTCAAGGACAAGAGCCTAAGCTATTAAAATGATGAATTCATTTCACCAGAGAATGAAATATTAAGACTAGGTTATTAAAGTTGGAAGTGACAACACACCCTACAAGGTCCAGTCTTCAGCTACTTACAAATTTTACCAACTTTAACCACTCATACATCTGCCTTATTCCCTCCCCCTCTACTCTGCCCCATCTGAAGTACTGCGTCCAGTTCTGGGCTGGACATAAGCTCTGTTATCACAATCAGTATTTAGGAGCACTCATTAACATTATTTGATGATGGATACACCCAATGCTTGCTGCCATGATGGATAAAGCCTCAAGGACAAGAGCCTAAGCTATTAAAATGATGAATTCATTTCACCAGAGAATGAAATATTAAGACTAGGTTATTAAAGTTGGAAGTGACAACACACCCTACAAGGTCCAGTCTTCAGCTACTTACAAATTTTACCAACTTTAACCACTCATACATCTGCCTTATCCTTAATATTTTTGAGAGTTTGAGTAAAATTGCCCTACTCATTTCCAAATGGGAATAAGGGGAAAATATCCCTTTGTGAACATATTAAAAAGAAAACAACGCTGTTACCTTTCCCATAGCTTTTATCTATGAATATAGAGAACTTGTACTCAAAAGTTTACATGAAGCCTTCTATTTTTTGAGAGTTTGAGCAAAATTGCTCTATTCATTTCCAAACGGGAATAAGGGGAAAATATCCCATTGTGAACATATTAAGAAGAAAACAATTTTTTCAATGACTTAGCAGGAAAGTTCTACCTCCGCCTTTTAGTTCTGAGCAAGGATGCCATAGAACAAGAGACAATTGATAAACCTAATCCACATTTTAAAACGCTCAGAAGCATTCAGTCTCAGTCCAGGAGAATGGACTGAGTCCAGTCCTTGTCCAACAGAATGCTTCAAAGATCTGTTTAACCCACACTTGACCAACTGGCATCACTCCTCAGGGGATGAATGTAGGACTTTTTCAGCTGCTGTGGAGCAAGTCGCAATTTGGGACCTCAGTCTCCTTCTGTACTTCATGGAAAGAAATCCAGAAGGATCATAAGAAAGATTATAAGAGATCCAGAAGCATGCGTGGGGGGAAGAGAATGAACCACAGAGTTATATGAGAGTTCTACTGTGAATGGAGATGCCATTATGCAGTGACTGAGTAAAAGAAAAAACTTTAACTGTTGTATTTTTTAACGCTGTTACCTTTCCCATAGCTTTAATCTATGAATATAGACAACTTGTACTCAAAAGTTTACATGAAGCCTTGCATTTCAGATTCATAATGGACATCAGACATCTGAGTGATAGGCTCCCGATGACTTCCATCGCTATCAAATTAGACACTTACAATATTAAGTCCGTAGAAGCAATGATAAATTGATACCTAATGCAATTTAAAAAACACCAGATAACTAAACAGAACTTGATGTTCCTCCAGTTCAACGGGAAACAATCAGAAATTTTACTCAGAAGGTGCTTAACATCAGGAGATGATTGTCCCCCTGTATTCAGCACTGATGAGACCCCACCTCGAGTCCTGTGAACACTTTTGGGCCCCTTACCACAAAAAAGACATTGAAGTGCTGGAGCATGTCCAGAGAAGGGCAACGGAGCTGGTGAGGGGTCTGAAGAGTAAGTCTTATGAGGATTGGCTGAGGAAGCTGGGCTTATTCAGCCTGGAGAAAAGGAGCCTGAGGGGAGACCTTCTCGCTCTCTACAACTACCTGAAAGGAGGGTGCAGAGAGGCGGGGATCAGTCTCTTCTCCCAATCACAGGCAATAGGGCAAGAGGAAACGGCCTCAAGTTGCACCAGGGGAGGTTCAGAGTGGAAATTAGGAAAAATGCTTACACTGAAAGGGTTATTAAGCTCGATACCTAATGCAATTTAAAAAACACCAGATAACTAAACAGAACTTGATGTTTCCCGTTGAATTGGAGGAACAATCAGAAATTTTACTCAGAAGGTGCTTAACCTCAGGAGGTGATTGTCCCCCTCTATTCAGCACTGATGAGACCCCACCTCAAGTCCTGTGAACAGTTTTGGGCCCCTTACCACAAAAAAGACATTGAAGTGCTGGAGCATGTCCAGAGAAGGGCAACAGAGGTAGTGAGGGGTCTGAAGAGTAAGTCTTATGAGGATTGGCTGAGGAAGCTGGGCTTATTCAGCCTGGAGAAAAGGAGCCTGAGGGGAGACCTTCTCGCTCCCTACAACTACCTGAAAGGAGGGTGTAGAGAGGTGGGGGTTGGTCTCTTCTCCCAATCACAGGTGATAGAGCAAGAGGAAAGGGCAAGAGGAAACGGCCTCAAGTTGCACCAGGGGAGGTTCAGATTGGAGATTAGGAAAAATGTTTAGACTGAAAGGGTTATTAAGCTTTGGAATGAGCTGCCCAGGGAAGGGGTTGAGTCACCAACCCTGGAGGTATTTAAAAGACGGTTTGACATAGTGCTTAGAGACATGGTTTTGTGATGTTTTAGGCTGATGGTTGGACTAGGTGATCTTAAAGGTCCTTTCCAACCTAGACAATTCTATGATTCCATATTTTTTAAGTATTTAAAATTCCCATGTTTTGTAGCATAGATGTTCTAAATCTTTGGTTTGTTTTAAATAGGTTTACCCGCAAATATACTGATCAATTACTACCTTTTCATTGTTTTTCTTGCTTTGTGACAAAACTCGGGCTTGGATGGTCATTGGTCCTGCCCGTCCAGATTTCCAACGATAAGCACTTGATGTCCTATGAACCAAGAGCAAGAAAGAACTTACAAATTTTATCTTCTATAAGTAAGAGCAGCATAAAGGTTTTTCTTCAGGCTTTTAAATAAGAACAGAGCATCACAAAAATAAAATTCTTGTCTATAGGTCATCAATTCCCCAAAACACAAACACCTCCATTCCATTGAAACCATCTTTGCATTTACTTTAATAGGAGTAAACACATCAAATGTATAAGAAAGTACTTCTTTTTAGACCATCAAATTGCACTAAGTTTTTAAAAGTAAGAAAATCCCATCAATTCTCTAAGGTTAGTTTTAGGAGAATGAAAATTTAACAGAAGTACACTTTAAATAAGTCTTCGTTGTCCCAATTTACTCTGGGGCATTCATCCAGCACAGCTAAAATAAGCCAGGAACACAAACCTACAATTAAGATTTCAGTGAATATCAGTTTAGAAATTGACTACTATGGTGAAGATGAAAGACAGCAGGGAAGAATTTAAGACTAAGGGAGATGAAACAGCAATTTTTCAGTTTTAGCACACTGCATAACACACTATTGCATAATATTTAGCAAGTATTAAAATGGGTGATCTACTTTGTTTTACAGAAAACCAAACAGAGCAAAACAAACTAACACATACAAAACAAAGGGTAAGGAAAACATGTAGGAGGGAAGAGGGATGATCTTCCCATCAGTGGTGCAAATGCCAATGATACCTGTCATTTGAACTCACCATAGGAAGAGGATTTGCAGGTACAAGGCCATGAGAACAATGTAAGAGCAGCTGCACAAGAACAATATTGGGGAAAAAAGCACCATGCACTATCTGGAAAACACTGCCTCAACAGCTTCAGCAGAAGTTTACAGAGCTGCAAACAGCAGGCCCTGAGCACCACCAAGACTAAAGCACTGAGGTACCCAAGGCACTTGCATCTCCAGTGACAAAATACATCAGGCAGAAGTACAAAGAAATAGAAGCAGATGTTGCAGAGATTTGCTAACATTCAGAGAGAGACAGTAACAGAGCTGAGATTGAAGCTCCCACTCTAGCACTTGCTTCATTACATTATGCTTACTTTCCAAGCCATGCTTCCATCACACAGAAAATGCCTACACAGATGCATGCAAAACAGGATCAAAGCATTAAGAACAGTATCCTCTTTAGAAATGTCAGAAATAAAACTGAAATAGTGCAAGAGAAACTACTTTCTGTCTCCTGCTTTAAAACTAAGGTGACAAATCCAATCAGACAGGGGAAAAAGGAAGAAGAGGGAATAAATGAGGAAAAGGGATCTCTGCTGCTGAAGGAATATCCCTGCCAGGAAGGACTGTTAGCTTACTTCTTAAAAAAAAAAAAAAATATATATATATATATTTTCACCTGGGAGTTTAAAAATAAGAAAGTAATAGTTTATCACTGAGAAGAAAGACTGGAGAGAGGAGACTGAACCCTGTTGTAAATTCCAAACTTTAGCAGAGCAGGAGAAGGTGTGGGGGGAGTATCTCATTGGATAGAGCCTGAGGGGAGACCTTCTCGCTCTCTACAACTACCTGAAAGGAGGGTGCAGAGAGGCGGGGATCAGTCTCTTCTCCCAATCACAGGCAATAGGGCAAGAGGAAACGGCCTCAAGTTGCACCAGGGGAGGTTCAGAGTGGAAATTAGGAAAAATGCTTACACTGAAAGGGTTATTAAGCTTTGGAATGGGCTGCCCAGGGAAGTGGTTGAGGCACCATCCCTGGAGGTATTTAAAAGACGGTTTGACATAGCACTTAGAGACATGGTTTTGTGATGGTTTTTATCTTTTAGGCTGATGGTTGGACTAGGTGATCTTAAAGGTCCCTTCCAACCTAGACAATTCTATGATTCCATATTTTTTAAGTATTTAAAATTCCCATGTTTTGTAGCATAGATGTTCTAAATCTTTGGTTTGTTTTAAATAGGTTTACCCGCAAATATACTGATCAATTACTACCTTTTCATTGTTTTTCTTGCTTTGTGACAAAACTCGGGCTTGGATGGTCATTGGTCCTGCCCGTCCAGATTTCCAACGATAAGCACTTGATGTCCTATGAACCAAGAGCAAGAAAGAACTTACAAATTTTATCTTCTATAAGTAAGAGCAGCATAAAGGTTTTTCTTCAGGCTTTTAAATAAGAACAGAGCATCACAAAAATAAAATTCTTGTCTATAGGTCATCAATTCCCCAAAACACAAACACCTCCATTCCATTGAAACCATCTTTGCATTTACTTTAATAGGAGTAAACACATCAAATGTATAAGAAAGTACTTCTTTTTAGACCATCAAATTGCACTAAGTTTTTAAAAGTAAGAAAATCCCATCAATTCTCTAAGGTTAGTTTTAGGAGAATGAAAATTTAACAGAAGTACACTTTAAATAAGTCTTCGTTGTCCCAATTTACTCTGGGGCATTCATCCAGCACAGCTAAAATAAGCCAGGAACACAAACCTACAATTAAGACTTCAGTGAATATCAGTTTAGAAATTGACTACTATGGTGAAGATGAAAGACAGCAGGGAAGAATTTAAGACTAAGGGAGATGAAACAGCAATTTTTCAGTTTTAGCACACTGCATAACACACTATTGCATAATATTTAGCAAGTATTAAAATGGGTGATCTACTTTGTTTTACAGAAAACCAAACAGAGCAAAACAAACTAACACATACAAAACAAAGGGTAAGGAAAACATGTAGGAGGGAAGAGGGATGATCTTCCCATCAGTGGTGCAAATGCCAATGATACCTGTCATTTGAACTCACCATAGGAAGAGGATTTGCAGGTACAAGGCCATGAGAACAATGTAAGAGCAGCTGCACAAGAACAATATTGGGGAAAAAAGCACCATGCACTATCTGGAAAACACTGCCTCAACAGCTTCAGCAGAAGTTTACAGAGCTGCAAACAGCAGGCCCTGAGCACCACCAAGACTAAAGCACTGAGGTACCCAAGGCACTTGCATCTCCAGTGACAAAATACATCAGGCAGAAGTACAAAGAAATAGAAGCAGATGTTGCAGAGATTTGCTAACATTCAGAGAGAGACAGTAACAGAGCTGAGATTGAAGCTCCCACTCTAGCACTTGCTTCATTACATTATGCTTACTTTCCAAGCCATGCTTCCATCACACAGAAAATGCCTACACAGATGCATGCAAAACAGGATCAAAGCATTAAGAACAGTATCCTCTTTAGAAATGTCAGAAATAAAACTGAAATAGTGCAAGAGAAACTACTTTCTGTCTCCTGCTTTAAAACTAAGGTGACAAATCCAATCAGACAGGGGAAAAAGGAAGAAGAGGGAATAAATGAGGAAAAGGGATCTCTGCTGCTGAAGGAATATCCCTGCCAGGAAGGACTGTTAGCTTACTTCTTAAAAAAAAAAAAAAAATATATATATATATATTTTCACCTGGGAGTTTAAAAATAAGAAAGTAATAGTTTATCACTGAGAAGAAAGACTGGAGAGAGGAGACTGAACACTGTTGTTAATTCCAAACTTTAGAAGAGCAGGAGAAGGTGTGGAGGGAGTATCTCATTGGATTCCATTTTTTTTTAAATAGAAATTTAACCTACCTTCTCTCTTCTTTTTCTCTGCTCATGTTTGACTGTAGTTGCTGCAACTTCTTCTCCATCTCTTTCTTTTCTGTTTCTAACCGCACTTTCTCCAACTGCAATTCTCTGACAGTTCTGGAGAAGTTACAGTAGTAAAACATTCATTAGAAACTACATGAAAGTAAGGCACCTGAAGATGTTTAAAGCAGCAAGTTAAAAAAAATGGAAAAAATGTCATTAAAGGCATGTCACTCTTCTGTCTCCCAGCAAGACTGAAAACAGTTTAGGGCAGGTCAGGTGCAAACTCCTTGGACACAAGAATATCTCATTACAGAGGGTTATGTTGACAGTGATTTGGCTACTCCAACATAAGCTCTAGAGTGACCAACATAAAACTGATACAATTGTGTCCGTATTCAGAAAGGTTTGTTGCTTAAATGTATTAAAATAAGCTATCCCAGTGAATCCATTAGTATTGTTTGTTTACAAACTATATGTATGTTACATATTCAGCACCATAACTTACCTATAACTTACTTAGAAAATAGATTACAGCCTAAGAAAAGAAAGGCTTAAGGATAAAACCATAGGGAAAATACCAGAGAAGAAACACAACATGATTCTTCTTGCTCCCACACAAACAAGCTCTTCTACTTAATGTTGCATTAAAACTTATTAAAAATGATGAAAAAAACATTTCCATCGCAATCAGATAAAATGCACTTACTTTGCTTTTAATCTCACAGAGGTTCCAGTTTTTGAGCCTGGGAGTATTACAAAGTCATTGATGTTCATGATTCCCAGTATAATCTCTTCTAAAAATAATTTCAATGATCTACAGTTAGCAACCTGTTAAAATGGGAATTCAATTGAAATTAAAACAGTAAAAGGAGGAAAGAAATGGAGCGCAGAACTTGTTTAGATGAAATGCCAATAAAATCCTACAGCAGCTCTAGATTACATTTAACTGAAAGAAAAACTTTTTATTACATTCATGATACCAGGGAAAAGATTTACTTGTTTGTTGCATTTGGGCAATCCTCTGAAGTTCAATGAAAGCAGAGAAAATTGTATCACTGGCTATGAAGTCAAACCATCTCAAATGATTTGGAAAGATAAATGTCTTCGGTCATATCCAAATTGATGCAAAAGACTACAGTAACTCGCACAGCAAAGTTATTCCCTACTCTCAAAGTTCAAGACAGTGGTATTTTAAAGATAATTTTTTTTCTCCAGGTTGTAAAATACTTTTCCAACAAGCAAGTTCATACAGCACAGTCCAAACTGGAGCTTAATATCCATACCATCCCTGCACTAAAATGTTTGCATTTTAACTAGCACAGACTAAGCAGGCTGCTGGAGGAAACATGCCAACAATCCATGCCAAGCACAGCGTCAAAGCCGAACATTTACTTGTGCTGCTGGGATGCATATGGAAAAGTAAAAAAAAACTTTATAGTCCAGAGACTTACAGCTGACAGGACGTTTGCAAATTGTTCTTCAACTGTGGGCTATCAGACTCCAGCTGAAAGCAGGACCTAACCGAAATGATGTAGAGAAGCTTATTATTTGAAAGACATCAAACGTATAACCGAGCTCAATAGCAAAAGCTCAGCTGCTAAAGATAGTGGTATTTTAAAGATAATGTTTTTCTCCAGGTTGTAAAATACTTTTCCAACAAGCAAGTTCATACAGCACAGTCCAAACTGGAGCTTAATATCCATACCATCCCTGCACTAAAATGTTTGCATTTTAACTAGCACAGACTAAGCAGGCTGCTGGAGGAAACATGCCAACAATCCATGCCAAGCACAGCGTCAAAGCCGAACATTTACTTGTGCTGCTGGGATGCATATGGAAAAGTAAAAAAAAACTTTATAGTCCAGAGACTTACAGCTGACAGGACGTTTGCAAATTGTTCTTCAACTGTGGGCTATCAGACTCCAGCTGAAAGCAGGACCTAACTGAAATGATGTAGAGAAGCTTATTATTTGAAAGACATCAAATGTATAACTGAGCTCAATAGCAAAAGCTCAGCTGCTTGTTCGCACATAAGCCTGAAAATTACTATTAATACAATTCAAATGTGTCCAAATAATACCTCTGTCCATGAGGCAAAATGCACATCAATTGCACATTACAAACAGTTAAAACATCTGGTGCCACAGAACCTAAAAGCAATGACATTTCAGTGCTGGCAGAAATGTCAGATGTGCACACAAAACATGCTTCTTACTGTGCCAGAAAAACCAAGCACTCCAGACCTTCTTATCATCTCCAAACAATGATTCTTTTATCACTTTCTAAGATAAAACAAGATTCTTTTAACTTAGAATAGAAGAAGGTTCTTCTCTTGGCAAATGTGTGCTAGCAGGACTAGCAGGCAGGGATAACACGCTGGTTTTGATGTAGCCCAAAGACTGTCTAATAGTAAAACTGGAGGTCAATGACTGAAGCCAGCTTACCAAGCTCAAGGAGGGAAAGTAGTTAACTCATATAAATGATATTTTATTATAAATGTTAACATATTGCAACAGGAGCAAATATTTAAGGAAGTAACTTAAGAGTTGTGACAGTATCACAGAAAAAATCATCTACAAAGTTTTGGGAATGCAGTAATACTGGGTGAAAAAAAAAAAGCATGAAGTTATAGGTAACAGATAATATAGATAGAAGGTGATCAGATGCCTGAATTACTCTGAGAAAATACATTAATTCATTTAATAGCTATTAAAGCATAATTCTATTTCTCAAACAGACTTCTAATTTAAATACAGACAAAAGTTGCCTTTTTCTGTGTGCTTTTTGGTTACCTATGAATCCTTTTTCTAGTACATAAGACAATTTGCCAGTGAGGCAAAGAGTCACCAACATAAATAAATCAAGCATTAATTATCCACATCATTTCTGCCTGCTCTTCTACACACGAGTACTCAAATTTCATCATTCTAGCAGATTTCTCTGTGCTGCTAATGCACATACAGCACAACTGAACAAAACAAAAAATGGTGTTTCTGCTAAATGAAATTTAAGTCAATTTAATTTTAAAGTCTGCGTAGCTAAATGAACACAAATCCCATCTATCCTGTATCTCAGCTTAGCTCAAATTTCTTCCTAATCAATTTAAAGATTTATAACTTTATAACTTGAAGACAGCTGAAGATGGCTACAGTTTATTTCAAACTACAGGAGTTTAACTAGAGCAGACTAAATTCCAACAGCTTTCTCACATCAATAAATCCATAAAATCCAAAGGGATACCACTGTATATATAATAGCTCACATCCAATTATCATACCCCTGAACATGGATTTCATGCTAGACTGAGTCCTATCCACTTACCAGTAATTCAAACCAAACTATTTCTTTTGGAGAAGAACTCTTAGTGTAACAAAATCTTTGTCTAGAATCGCTCTCCAGCCCATCAACTGAGGCTTCTGGTCCTTCCAAACAATGCTCTTTAACATTTTACTAATTAGTAAATCTGCTTCTCACAGCTAGTCTAAATCCACCAGTCAGGTATTTTAACTTGTCTCAGTCTCTTGGGATAGATTTATATTCTCCGTGTGGCAATATCTGTGAAAACACCCATTTCAAAATTCTATTTCTATTTTTAAACATTTTAATCCATTTCTATGCTTAATGCTGTACACCATGCACAAAGTAAGACCATGAAAACCAGATTAAGCCAGCTAAATGATACTTTCCCCAAATTATTTTCCTATACTTGGCAATTCTGTCGTGCATTAGAAAGATGTAGTCCCCACAACTCTAAGAAGTCAACACCTATTTCCACCAGTTGTGCATCTTCGCTGTTTAAACAAGAACTATGATTTCAACTATATTTTAAATAACTTCAAACACGGAAGACACTAGCAGAATCGTGTCGCTCCATGCAGTAGACTTAAAAAAAAGAAAAAAAACAACCTAAAAAAACCAAAAAAGGCATCACATTACTAAGTATGCTTCATGAGATAGATGCCTTAACATCCACATTATATGGCCACAGTAATTGCCCCGTGAACTCCTGCAGAAGCATTGCCCAGAAGCAGAGGAAACAAAGAAGCAGCTGGGGACAAGAGTAAGTGAATAAATGGAGCAAAGTCAGTACTTGCCTTTAATACTTCTATCAAACTCTAGTCTCTGCTAAGCAAGGCTTGCAGATTTCAGTCAGTCCAGGCAACAGCTCTAGAAAAACACAGAACGCACAAAGGCAGATAAAAAAAAGGTATAAAAACCTCCCTTTTGTCAAACTGTGGGCTTTTTTGTTTCGTTACCGCTGGCTGCGTTTCACAAGAAGGCTGATGAAAGGTAGAAAGGGCAGGGAAGAAAGAAACCGCCTGGAAGTGTAACCTAAACCCAGAAAGCCGTGAAGGGGGGAGGAATAAAGCGAAAAAGTGTAGGGGACGAACACAAATTCAAACTGTAAGGGTACGTCCTGAGGGTATTCCCCGGCGGAACCTGAGGGCACTTTCACCTGCCCCTAAATATTCCCTCAGCCCTTCGGGACCGGCCGCAACCCCCGGGGCGGGACGCGCTTGCTCGGGCGGAAACCTTCGCCCCTGAGGGGAAGACCCCCGCGGCGGGTGCCGGTGGGGCTCGCCGGGCTGCTGCCGCGCCGCCCCCGCTCCGAGACAGGGTTTCACCGGACCCAACGTGCCTTCGGCCGCCGCCGCGGGGTCTCTCTGCCGCGACACCCCCGCAGGGGATCCCCCGCAGGGGATCGCTCCGGTTCGGTTCGGTTCAGCCCCGCTCCCCCTCAGCGCTGCCGACGCCGCGCGCGGTTTCCATGGCACCGACGTCGCGTGGCGTCCCCGGCGGGAGGGCGGGGCGGGCGCTTGGGGAGAGGGAGCGTCCATTTGAAGTCGCGGGGGGTGGGAAGTGGGAGAGACCAACCCGTGCGGCGCGGGGGGGCGCGGGGTCTCCACCGCGGCTGGTTGAGGAGAAGGGCGCGGCCCTCAGCGTTGCGGGCCTTCGGCCTTCCCGGCCCAGCCCCTCAGCTTCCCGCCCTCTGGCTTTAAAGCTGACCCTCAAAATCCCTCTGCATCAAGTAGAGTCGCTGCTGCGGCCACACGCACCGTCAAGGGCCATCGGGCCCACACGGCAAGAGCATGGCCCTCCAAAAATCCTGAGATACACTAACGCCTTGACAGCAGGGTCTCCCCTGACCTGTGAGTTTCCAGAATGTACTTCCTTCACGGTTTTGTTTTCCCCACACACTCAAAGAATGATCAGGGTTGGAAGGGACCTCTGGAGATCATCTAGTCCAACCCCCCTGCCAAAGCAGGGCCACCCAGAGCAGGTTGCACAGGAACGTGTCCAGGCGGGTTTTGAATGTCTCCAGAGATGGAGATGCCACCACCTCTCTGGGCAGCCTCTTCCAGGGCTCTGCCACCCTCAAAGTATAAATAAGTGCCTCCTCATGTTTAGATGGAACTTTCTATGTTCCTCTTTGTCCCCATTGCCCCTGGTCCTGTCGCTGGGGTCCACTGAAAAGAGTCTGGCCCCATCCTCCTGACACCCACCCTTTAGATATCGATAAGCATTTATAAGATCCCCTTCTCACTCTTCTCCAGGCTAAACAGACGTGCATCTTTCAGCCATAAGAGAGATGCTCCAGCCCCCTGATCATCTTTGTAGCCCTCTGCTGGACTCTTAATAAGTGCAAAGGCTTTTCTACAGTGAAAATAAAAATAGGTGGCTGCTGTTTTCATGCTACTTCGTGAGGTGATGCTTGTGTGAAGTGCATTCCCCCCAGCAGAAGCGGTAGGGGATGCCCTGAAAAGCATGGCAATGGGGGAATTGTCTCAGATTGTACTGACTCTCCTCCCGTACCAGCTGAGTTAGAGCTGGCTTGGACCTGCCTTTCAGTAGATAAACCAAAATGGTACTTGGCTGTGCTGCAAAAGGCAGCCATGTCCTCTCCCCAGCACCCGTACGGCTTCTGCTCCAAGCCTTCTTCCCATCTCACTTCAACCTCTATTCCCAAAGCCACTGCAAAACATGCATCTGTTTATCTTTATGTCTGGGATCTTCTATGTTTTCATTCTAACTCATTATTTATTTAGAAGTTGGTCTCTGGAGGAACCAATATACTCTTCCTTCTGATTTACTGCCACACTTGAAGCAGCTAAATCTAAATCAACCTAGCTGAGTGCAAGGAGGCTTCGAGTAGCTTTTCATACAAGTTATCCCATTATCCACTGCTAACACTAACCTTTAGTTAGTGCTCAGGACCCAGAGAGCTATAGGGCTTCCTTGTGACATTTAATTTTTCAGAAAAGCTCTATCTATGCCCACCTTGTTGATACGTGCAGTTGTAGATCTGTGCATCGCTTCTTGGCTATGCCAGAACAGTTATTTATGTGTCTGCCAATAAGCAATAACCCCCATATGCCATTCCCTCTAAGGATACCTAGAGTGCATGGCAAGATAATAATTTTTTAATCAGTCATATTTTTTCAGTTTATTTGCTTTGAGTCTAGCCCTTCCAATTTTGGTGGGTAGACCATTATTTATAATTGATGCTCCTTTAGGGGA